TCTCAGATTTGTGCAGAATATGGGTTTGGCGATGGGTCCAACATTTGGACCCATCGATGGGTTGTGCCGAAGTCTAGATACGGTATATACCTATCCGCCTTTAATAGGTCGTAAGATATTGAATTATTTGACGAAGAGAATAGTTAGCGATAATAAAGATTAACTAGTTAATTAAGCAGAGTCCTTAGATAGAGAAAATAAAGGTCAAAAGAGAGGACAAAAAAAATAAAGGATAGAATAATGATATCTCTGTAAGACAAACAGGCATTTCTTTTTCAATTCTCTAATGACTACTCGTCAAAACTGACCTAAAGGCTGGGACAGTGTACTTTCACCTTGGAATATTTTTTAACGAAAACAACAGTGTATATTGCCCCATGGTTATCAGATGGCTTACAAACATCCTTGCTATTGGTAACCCACTGATTAAGGGGACCAGCTTTGTATTCGGTTGGGTCCGGCGTTGTCAGCTCGCTTTTCTTAGCTCAATCTCTCGCGCCTGGTGTCGCGCTAAGGCGTGTCAGAAACTTCTGGGCGCGAATTTTGCCATCCCTAAGATTCTTTAGGCCTTCAGACAAGCTCTCAAGACCGCTCTTGCCTAGCGTGTAGGGATGGTACGTGAGCCAACCCTCGCGTAGACCCCGGCCAAACGCTGCGCCCCATGTCACGCCAATAAGCTTGTCGTTCTCGTCCTCATTATGAACTTGACCAACCATAGAGTAGACGATATCAACACTCGGGTCAGAGCCCTCGACCTCGGTTTTGAGGAAAATATTAGTCACCCTTGGCTTCCGGCCCGCAGGGTCCGCCGGGCCGGCAATGGCCTTAGTAACGAGCCTGATGGTCTTGTCTTCGGAAACGGTATCATAGGCCTTCCAGCAGCGACCGTCGGGGGCACCTCCCTTCTCAATAGCCTCCTGAATCGCCTTGATCAGTTCCTTCTCTGTCGGATGAGCGGTATAGTCGATGAGGACGTCCCCCTTGCTTTCATCCAGGAACGGCTTAATAAAGTCACTCCGCGTGCTGCCAACCGTGATGATAGGGTGAATATTGGCCGCAGCAGCAAGCTTGATAGCAAAGGCTCCCGTAGCAGTACTTGCTCCATAGATATCAGCGGACGCTTAGTATCGTCCTTGCCCGCGGCCTTGGAGAGTGGCGACCAGGGCTCAGGGAGCTCAAGCTGCTGGAAGAGCGCGCAAGCGGATGTGTAGGCAGCTAAGGGAATCGTGGCAGCCTCCTCATAGGAGATCAAGTCCGGAATGTGGAAGGTAGTGTAGTAAGGTGCAATAGCGTACTCGGCGAAGGCCCCGTTAGGGGTCATCATTTCGTGAAAGGCGGCCACGCGGTCCCCTTTGTGAAACCCAACGACATCTTCTCCCACGGCTTCGACGGTACCGGCGATGTCGTCACCACTGTTTATTTCAGTACCGCGCATGGCGGGGAGCTTCCAGTCTTTCGGGTTGGAACCTTTCAATGATTCGTGTCAGCTGTCGATCTTTAAGGGAAACTGAGACGCATGAAGGCCCGCGATGGCAAGGTGAAAATTCTAGTGGCACGGATTGATTACTGCGGCCCCCTAAAATTTATTACTTACCCGCGACGACGACTTTGATCAACACATGGCCAGGCCCCGGTTTGGGGATAGGAGAATCGACAATGTCGACTGTAAGGTCATTCTTAACAATCGCTTCCTTCATGATGAGATGGCTGAGGTACCTTCATACGCTTTCAAGAAACTGTGAGCAGAGCAATTTGAGCGTGATAGATAATGATGAGTGAGTTGACTCGTTGCTCTTTATACTCAGCAGAACTCTATGATTAGTAACAGTAATTAAGCTTACATCATAGGTCCGGAGTCACATTCCCATAGTTTCCACTTACCTTGTTTGCTGCACGATGGGTGTATCATTCCTGAATCGTCAAATTTTGCTTCCGGGCTTTCCATTAATTCTTCCTTTACCGCACAAGCAAGTAACAAATTGTCACGCCAGTAATACCTGGTAATGAGACGTAGGGACACTTTCTAGTTGCCTACTTATCCGGAGAGGTATCTTTGTGGGCGAAGTTCTGTATCATATCGCAATAGAGTAAAGAGCGCGGTTGAAACATACTTCTCACAAATCTATTGAGGATTTGACAAATAGGGAAGAAAAAACCCAATGGCTTACACAGTTCTTACACTAAACATCGATAAGTGGAACATACTTCGCATGGCGGTGATAACCCGGAGGAGCTCTTGACCTCAGTGGGAGGCCCGGTGGGAGGCGAGGTGGGAGGCCCGGTTTGAAATCTGCAGCCAATAAGCTGCGTAGGAAGGTGGCTACCGATCTAGATTTTATTAATAATTGCACCATCGGTGGGCCGGAATGTGCGAATTATTTAGATACATCATAGGTCAACTAACTCAGGTTAACTAACTAACTTAGTAAACTATGCTTAGCAACAAAGTTTAATCAATAACCTACCCCACTAACGTAATCAACCACCGAACCGCGGATCTTCAACCGAGTTTCCACTCTCTCTATTCAACGCGTCAGATCTTCATTACCCTAATGAATATGCCTCTTTCAAAAGAGTCACGTATTCAGATGGCTATTTTAGCCTATCAGAAAGGTCAAACACCAGAATGCTGTCATCATATAATAGGCCACTCTCATTGAAAGTCACATCTCTCTTAATACAAGCCCTGAAAATGAACGCCATGATGGGCCTTCCACGCTTAAAACTTGAAAAAGACAAAAGATACACGCGATTTCGAAATTGGCTTCCACGTTTTACACAGAGAAACTATCTCAAACCCTTTTACGGTTTGGCAGCCGCACTTTTCTGAGGACTCATTTTTGAACTGTTGAATTGATACACTCCCCTTTACTTTTCTCTTGCCACTGATCAATTGATACATTGGTGAGCTGTTCTTTTGGTGATCACTTCCATCAGCTTGAAGCTGCCGTCAACGCAGAACGGCCCCGAGGACTAGTAATAACCGTAGATCTGTATATTATTCCCAGTAAAAACGAAATTATTATTATCCTTTTAATTTGTCTTTGCCCTATGGTCAAATTATGGCCACAGTTATTACCCAGACTCTCCAACTATTATGGTGAAGTGGTGAAGTACTACGGTGCAATATGGACGAAATCAATCAAAGTTTAACTGTTCCAGCCCGCAGATATATCGGCAGTTTCAAAGTAATGATAATTATAGCGTTTTAATTCGCATAAAGATGTAGGGAAATCTAAAACCAATAGGGGAAACCTAGACATCCCTAAGAGTGTTGTCGACTGGCAGATTGATTTCGAGTTGGAGCCCGAGGACATGGCTAGACCGCGACTCTGGACGTTACTGGACCTCGGGAATACACTACAGGCCGAATTTAAAAGAAAGGAAATCTAGTTTCTCTATTCTTGTACTGTAACTTGCTGTACTTTGAAAATACTAGTGGGATCCAGTAGAAAAGATAATAAATTCAACTCATGTGGAAGAAGGCAAATGGAACGTAAATCCTTAGGTTCAAATATCACCTAAGAGAACAAGTGATTATACTTTTCCCTAGTGAACCTGTGACACACTGAAGCCCCAATTACTTCATTCAGAGTTCGGAAGGACCAGGGCCATTTGGAGCATAATCCGATCCCTTGACTTGCTCCACATCAGTTGCACCCCGAAGCCATCCCACACGGTCCTTGGTATATAGCTCGAACCTGGGCTTCAATTTCGTTTCATGCAGGGTGAAATCATCCACTGTTCCGGTACGCAAGATACTGTGTCCCGGGATCATTTCACTGATGCGGTACATGAGTGAGCCACATATCGAACAGAAACAATTTGTCATTGCCTTTCCGGAGGCAATGGTTTTTGACTGGCTAAATGATTTGAGAGTTTCTTGGCCACGTAAGTGCTTAAGATGTGTGTCTGCGACAATGAAATTAGTCGCGAACATAGATGCGGTGATTTTTCGGCAGTCCGTGCAGTGACAGGTGAATGTGTCTATTAGGCCTGGGCCTTGTGTTGGCTGAAGGTTGTCCGTAAAATTAGCGAGATATTTTAAACAAGGCTATATACTTGGGAGCACTTACAAAGGACAACTGTACTGCGCCACAGTAGCATGTGGCAGTCGCCTGGCCTTCTTTTGACCAGCCATCATCAGCGCCACCGGCAACAGGTATGTAGGGCTTGGAATTATCTCTTGCAGCAGCCATGATTGAGCTTCTTTTTGAGTGTGAAAGAGTGCTTTGCGTAAATTTAAGGGACTTGTGCTTTGCCTTAAATAATTCATTCCGATGGAGATTACGAACCGGCGTCCCGGCTCCCATTTATCTCCTACCGGCCTCCCACCGGTCTCCCACCCACTAGCATTTCGTTTAGCAGTGAACATGCCGTTGATGACGCAATTGAATTTACGATGATAAGGTAAAAGCTCCATTAAATTTGTTGGATGAAGGAGGGCTTTATAAGCCGATTGATAATCAATCTTTTACCCTGACTAAGGCAAATGTGCGAGCTGGTTATATGACGTCTGCCTTCGACTGTACTCGGAGGCTATTACAGTGGATAAATGGATGGATGATGGATTGATGGATTTCATTCACGCTGACCCCTCGCTTTTGAGTTGAAGCTTTGAACTGAGGTACATGTGTGATACCCCTTTTCTATCCAGGGGCAGACATAACTACTTATAGACCTAATGGGTGCCTCGATACTACCTCGTAAGGCAGCTGCCTGGTGCTACTCTATACAAGGATCTGAGATTCAACTTTCTGAGCGATATGCAGCCTACCATTACTGTGTTGTAAATACATCATTTGTTCAACTGAGATTGTTCCAAACTTCCTGAACAGCTAGTCCATAACTAGTTAGTTAGGTAAGTAACTGTTGGGAATTTCTCCGCGTATCCTTGGCATTGGAGCCTCTATTGTTTCTTACACACAGTGCCTACCGCTAGTTATGGTCGGGTTCTATTCCAACCATTGCTACACTGGCACAAATAGAGACGAATAAGAAATTTTTTGGCCTGCACGGGGCACCTGCGGTCTGAACACTGGCGATGTAGGCCTCGTTGACGGAGCTACAGCGCTGTGAGGGCTGCAGGCGAGCCCGTGGCACTCCGTATATTCTAGGATGAAAATAGCTATGCGGGAGCATACGTGGTACATACATGAGAGGTTCCGCGGTGGGCGGGAAGAAACCGTCGCGGAGAGAGCCCGGCTCTCCCTCAAAACGGCGATATTCCTTTCGAGGGAGGGGATGTCCAGCACGGAATATCGTGGGCCCGACGCAAGGGGCTCTCGCGCAACAGCCCCGAATAGAAACCTATCATGTATTCACTTGTACTTTATTACGTTGTAAATGACTCCTGAGGATACAGGGTATTCAAGGGCAATGGTGATGGAATACCAGCCAACACTCTCAGAACTTCTTAAGTTAATTGACCGGTCTAAGTAGGCAAGAGGCGGGGATTTCTCTCTTGCTCTCCTACCGCGACATTCCTCAGCACCCCATCAATCCGTAGGCCTTACAATTGCAACAGACCCAGCCCCCCAAACGCCACCACCGCTGCCCCTCCACACAGACCCCAAACCCCCTTGTCCCATCCTCTTGGTCCCTGTATCGTAACCCATGTATCTACCACACATACAGCAGTCCATGCCGTCAATATAACTCCCATCTCCTTCCCCTTTCCTTCGCTATGAAGCCAAAGCAGCGCGCCTGCCATGGCTATGTCACGTATTCCGAGGAATATCATTGCTTTCTCGGTTATGTCGCGGCCTTCTGGCGTGGTAGGTGTGACCCCGAGAGATCCTGCAGCAACGGACGGAGATAGAAGGGCCAATGCGCCGAGAGAAAAGACAGTCGTTGTAAGGCCAAGGCCGACGAAGCGCCATGTTGAACGAGTGAAGAGGCGGTTGGGGAAAGCCATTGTGCATCGGCTGCGAGAAATTGAATGTTGTTTTTTTTTAGTAGAAAGGATGAAAGAGCTTTTTGTTTTGGATAACCAAGCCACGCATGTTGCAAACCCTGAACTTCATATAGCCCAACACCTACTTCCGGCCAGCTATGCCACCGCGGAGAGTTTAGAAATGCTTTGGCCTTATCCAAGGGAGGCCCTTCGGCGCTGATGAAAAATCAAAATCATCTGCAGTGATTCAAACATGCCAAGACTTTCATGAATGATATGCCGTACTCCGGAGCATGCGACACATTTACCGTGGACCAGAGCTGTACAGTAGTATGTGGAGAATGCAAACCGAGGGCACCAGTTAGAATCGAATAAAAACAAAAAGCGGAGAACTCAAGTTGCGTTCGAAATTAAGTGGGTTTCCATAGGGATTTGCATGCATATATTGTTTAGTATCACTAATCATTAATTGTAACTTATAACTAGTTAACTAGTTAACTAACTACCATTAATCAGCATTAATCAGCATTAATCAGCATTAATCAGGAAACAGGGGAGCCTCAACTAACTAACGGACGTCCGGATGACCAAGGATATCTGCGTCTCAGATGGCCTGACGTAGGGTGGTGACGATCCACAGATGCAACTCCGCCTTCAAGCCGTACCCGGACCGATCATGTCATCCCCAAAGCAAACTCAATCAGAGAAGTAGCCGAAGCCTCCGATGCTCTTCTATGGTTCCTTTACTCGGCATTTTCAGGGTGGTGCTCCGTTCGGCAGGAATGGCAACTATAAACTGGC